TGGTAACATATGTCATGAGAGTTCTTCTCCATATAACAACAACAACAACAAAAAAAACCCAAACCTGTTGCCATTGAGTCAATTTTGACTCATAGCAACCCTATAGGACAGAGTGGAACTGCCCCAGAGCTTCCGAGGAGTGGCTGGTGGATTCAAACTGCTGACTTTTTGGTTAGCAGCCAGAGCTCTTAACCACTGCACCACCAGGGCTCCCTGCTCTACATAATTCATGGTTTATCTGCCATGTAAATGAAGTTCTAATCCACTCAAGAGGTTTACCTGTTCCAGGTAAATAGATCAAAATGCCTGTGGGCACACTCAATTCAAACCAGTTTACAGCCCTTAGACTTGTAAGATTAAGGACTGAAGTTTGTTTTCCATACAAGTCCTAGAATTTGCCTGATGTAGACAAAAATGACATACTTGTCTTGGTTCGAGATTTCCTCAGGATATATAGGACAGGTTTTTTTTAATTGTTTTTTTTTTTTGGGGGGGGGGGGGGGAGAATCTCCCAGAAAGTGTGATATTGAATTAGAATCTATGTTAGAAAAGGAATTATAGAACGTGCTTTGTTTTCACATATTCCTCATGAGGCCTTCTGAGCAGGTAGGTTTCAGAATTGTTAAAATAGCAACAGGTCATTTTATACAGATTTCTGTTCATCCAACTACAAAAATTATTTGTTTTTAAAGGGACAGAGATATCTTCTTGCCTAACATAAAACCTGACTTAAGATGCACATTACAATGACCTTTCTCTCAGTAAATGGTATTTGAATGCCTGGCTACAGGATATCTCAAAATGTACATTCCCAAAATAGCATACAGGAGTTCAAGACTGAAATGATTGGACTTCAAATACATTTAGAGTTGAACACAGAAAACAAACTATTTCTTCCTGATTGTAAGTACAAGTCAATATTGGTGTTGTTAACAATGAAAACATAGTATGGATCATAAACAGAGGTAGAAAGGATACATTCCCCTCTTCCCCATTTGTTTCTCTATGAAGGAATGTAAAATTTTTTTTGAACCATACATGTATCTAGTGATGAAAGAAAGCTCTTTGGCTTCTTCGTGTACCTCGTAAGGAAACATACAAGAGAGAACAAAGAAGAGATGAAATAGCCTCTATCATTTTTTGCAGTCCCTAGTGGTGCAAACAGTAATGAGCTTGGCTGCTAACTGAAAGGTTGGAGATGCGAGTCCAACCAGAAGTGCTTGAAAAAAGGCCTGGCTGTCTACTTTCAAAAATTCAGCCATTGAAAACCCAATGAAGTACAGTTCTACTCTGACACACACGGGGTCACCATGAGTCAGAATCAACTCCATGGCAACTGCTTTTTTTAAAATATCTTATTCACTGAAAATGAAAATGGGTCATGACATCCATAGATGTTAAGCTAAAAATACAATGACATGACTCTGTTGCTGGGTATCTTAATAGGATCTTATTGCTATTTCTTGTAACCAAATGCCCTTCCATACCCAATTATGAAAACTAATTATTATGCCAATATATGAGCAGTTTCATGGAAAGAAATACATTACTTAAATATTGTTAGTTGCCATTAAGTCGATTCTGACTCATGGTGACCCTATGTGTAGAGTACAACCGCTCCACAGAATTTTCAAGGCTGTGTGACCTTTTAGAAGCATATCAACAGGCCTGTCACATAATGAAATAAAAATCAGGAGATCTAAGTTCTAGTCTTGTCTCGGCCACAAACTAGCTTTATAACTATGGGCAACTAACCTATCATCCCTAAACGTCATTTCATCTGCCACTGTGAAAACAGAAAATATAAGCTCACTCTTAAAGAATCAGAACTGTGAGTCTCACATTGAAAAAAAAAAATTCAGCTTTTAATTAACGTGAAAGTACAATGCAAGCAAGGCACATGAATCTAAAAGTATTTTATTAATTCAAATACTAAATTTAGACCTAGTGAACCAAAGAGCTTAGAGTATTAATTGAACAAGGTGAAGATCCATGTAAAATGAAAATTGACCATGTTTTGCTGACAGACATAAAATGACAGATTTCTTGGTTGTTTTACTATCATTCACTGTTTTCAGCATTCTCTTGCTGTCAAATTGTTTTTACAACAGGGCATGTCTCTAACCACTTGAAAAGTGAGCTTCAATGTCTGTATGGTTGGTTGTTGTTGTGTGCTGTCGAGTGGATTCCAACTCATAGTGACTCTTTAGAATAGAGTAAAACTGCCCCATAAGGTTTCCTAGGCTGTAATCTTTACTAGAGAGTATTGCCAGGTCTTTTCTCCCGAGGAGCAGCTGGTAGGTTCGAATCTCTTTCGGTTAGCAGCCAAGCTCTTGACCACTGCACCACCAGAGCTCCTCATATGGTTGGTAAGCTCTGTGAAATGTTTTAGATCATTGTGAAGGTCACAGAACACGGCTTGTTTCAGGAGAAATTTAAAGTTCACAAACTATTTACTGCTAATCATTTCAGATGCAACTGAATTTAATGAACTCAATATTTTTTTTCTTTCCTAAATTGAATCCTTTATTAGACACATACCATAAAAACTAAGATAATATCTGGTGTTTGAGACAGCAATCCATTCTGTCGTCTTCCTCTGTAGTGGTTAAAAAAACCAAACCAATATTTTCTGAGAATCTTTAAACCTAAAACACAAGATGGCTTTTGCTTATTCCTCAACTTTTCCTCACAGAAGAGAGGATTGGAACATATATTTCCTAAGATCCCCTCCAGCACTAACATTTCATAGTTCTCACCTTAGAATTTAGAGGTGCATTCTATAACTACTGTTGAAATGGAAAATTCATTGAGTAAAGATATCTATGTTTAATCTTGCTGTGGCTAGGTGCCGTGGAGTCTGCTCCAACTCACACCAACCCTATGTATAACAGATTGAAACGCTGCCCAGTCCTGTGCCATCCTCACAACAGGTATGTTTGAGCCCGCTGGTACAGCCACTGTGTCATTCCTTCTCTTTGAGGTTCTTCCTCTTTTTCATTGACCCTCCACCAAGCATGGTATCCTTCTCCAGGGATTGGTCCCTCCTGATAACATGCCCAAGGTAAGCAAAGTCTCACCACTCTTCCTTCTAAGGAGCATTCTGGCTGTACCTTCTAAAAGATAGATTTGTTCTTTCATCTAACAGTCCATGTATATTTCATACTCTTTGCCATCACTGTAATTTAAATGTCACTTCTTTCGTGTTCCTTTTTCACTGTTCAGCTTTCGCATGTATAGGAAGCAACTGAAAATGCCATGTTTTGGGTCAGACATATCTTATCAAAGTGACATCTTTGCTTTTTAAAACTTAAAGAGCTCTTTTGCAGCAGATATACTCAATGCAAATCTTACAAATATGTAAAGTATGAGTGAGATATTAGCTCTATATTGTCAACAAGGCAGCCTAATGGGGAAGAGGAAGAAGCAACATTTATTGAGATCTGTGCCACATTCTTTACATATGTAACCTCCATTTCATTGTCAAAAACAACTCCAGGACGTAAGCTTTATTATTTCATTTTGAAATAAGGAAGCAGAGGCTCAGAGAAATTTAAGGGGCTTGCCCCAAACCAGTTGCTCTCAAGTGGATTTCGACTCATAGCGAGTCTATAGGACAGAGTAGAATTGCTCCATAGTTTCCAAGGAGGAGCTAGTAGATTCCAGCTGCTGACTTTCTGGTTAGCAGCTGAGCTCTTAACCGCTGCACCACCAGGCTCTTGCCCACGGAGAGTATATGAGGCAGTGGTAGAGCTGGAATTCAAATCATAGTCTATAACCTTAGTTACATTCATTATATGATTAAGTAAAATACTAAATTTATACTGTACATTTTTGTTACTATTTTAAATTGTTTAGTAAGTAAGTTAGGTTTTGTGACCCAGAGCAACATGGGTTTTCTCAACATACAAAAAATTCAAAATGCATTAATGATGAAATTATTTACGGTTACAGGAAACTTCTGTGTATTGAAATAGACTACCCCAAGAGAAAATAAATATCTGTCTCAAGTGTGGTGGCATAACACGTTTCCATGGGTGGAAAATGCACTGGCTTGAATCTATTTTGTTCGGTTAGATCCTACTGTGATGTGGAAAACTCTGTGGTCAATTTCAAGTAGGAGATAATTACAACTGAAATAAGAAAGCAGACTTTCCCGAAACACAAAAAAAGTTTTATTTTTAAAAGTACAGTAATTGTTAATGCCCCAAATGAAATGGATAACTGATAAGACAGGTGAAATCTACAGCCATCACCCTGGCTTCCTCACAACCTCTTCCACAGAACCGATTCTGGAGGTAAGGGACAACAGCCAAACTTTGAGAAAACTCTTTTCTCCAATTAGCGTCCCGCTCCGCTTCCCTCAGTCGGTTACAGCGACCTCCGCCCCCCCTTTCCGCCTCGGAGGGTCTGACGGTGGAGAAGCGGACTGCAGATGGGACGCCCGTTGGACAACCTCGGGTCACTGAGACTCACTCGGTGAGGCGGACGGTGTGTGCCGGAGACTTCTAGCTCCTACACTTCCGCTGGGCTCCCTCTTACCTCAGTCCCTGCCTCAAACTCCGAAAGGTACAGTGGGATCCCCTCGTCACCCCACCACTAGGCCTTTTATAAACTCCTTCAGCGTCTGACTTCCCTCACTGGTCTCTTCAGAGCTCCTTTCAGGTCTTGGCCGCTAACGACAAGCTGTTTCCTTACCTCTCCCAAACCGTCTTCTTAGGAGAGGAGGGAAGAGAGACCAGGCATTCGGCTGCGTTCGCTTCTTGCAACCGCCAGGACCGCCGTCCGCTCCGCCCCTTCCCGCCACGACGTTCCCCTCTCCTTCCCCTCCCCCAGACTCACGCTCCCACCGGTGGTGAGGAGCTGGAACTGAGAGCGGGGGAGGGTGCGCATGCGTGTCGAGGGCGGCGCCGCTAGGCAAAGAACCGGAAACTTAGAGACAAAGTTCGGAGCCCCGCCCCCCCTCGCCTCGCGCTGCCCTGCCGTCTGGCCCGGCTGACTCAACAGCCGACTCAACAGCCGACCCAGCGGCGGAGCGACTGACCTAGAGACGAGAATCGGCCCAGCTCTCTTGCGCACCATGTCTGGCTCCTCCAGCGTCGCCGCTATGAAGAAAGTGGTTCAGCAGCTCCGGCTGGAAGCCGGGCTCAACCGCGTGAAGGTGAGCGGGGGCGGGCGGGCCGAGGGGGAGGGGAAGTCGGCGGCGGGTGGGATCCGGCGGCTGAGCTGGCTGGTGCCGGCAGGACGTGCGTCCTGGTCTGGCTTTTCCCTGGGGAGGACGCGCGCTGAGAGCAACCAACTTTAAAGAAGTAGCAGTGCGGGTTGCTGCTGTGGTTTGTGGGGCTGGTTAGCCCGCCGCTTCCGCCCTAGGACTTCCCAAGGCAGCCTTGGCCCCTGGACTGAATAGCTTCCCGCACCCTAGTTCTCCTCCCTCTGTGTTCCTTCCTGCGCAGTGACTCTTCGGCTAGCCTTGCCAACTGCTGCTCTTCGGCGCGCCGTTCGCTCCCTTCCCTGTCTACTTTCACCGTTTTTCGTCACCGGCCTGGGTATTTTTCGACTTTTGATTCACAACAGACTTAGTTTTTCTTTTCATGTAGTCTTTCCCAAACCCACTTCTTTAAATAAACATTAGATTTTTCTCTCTCAGCTTTTCTCGTTCACCAACACATAAACTTGAAAACAAATTCTTGCTTAACTCTAACTATGGATTGTAAGAAGTCAGTTTTCGAAACGTTCCTGGTGTCCGAGGTTACCGCCGGCTCCCTGTACATACCTATTCACGGTTTGCACCGATCTGACCTTGGGGCTGTCTACTGGTCCCAAGCCGAGAAAGTGATTAAGGTGGAACAGTATTGGTTTTGTTTATTTTGGCGTCTGGTTAGCATTGGCCTTGTATAGGGGTATTTACTTTAGGGGACAGTAGTTAAGAGCGCGGCTCCTAATCAAACGTCGGCAGTTCAAATTCATCAGTCACTCCTTGGAAACCCTATGGGGTAGTTCTACTCTGTCCTGTAGGGTCGCTATGAGTCGGAATCGGCTGGACGGCAACGGATTTTGGTGTACTTTAGGGGAAAAACCCTTTTTTGTGTGTGTTGATGTGACCGTCTGACATTCAAGTGCTATTCCAAGTATTTCCTGATTTTTAAAATCCTAAATGGATTGACTTCTTTCCATTGCAGGAGATTAGTTTACATGTTAAACATTACTTGTTTAGAAACAAGAAACAACATAGAAAAGAATATAAATCACATACCCTGTTGGAAGAAAGGACTCCTGGTGGAGCAGTGGTTAAGAATTCGGTTGCTGACCGAAAGGTCCGCCATTCAGATAAATCATTGGAAACCCTGTGGAGCAGTACTACACTACTCTGCCCTATAAGGTCGCTAAGTGTCGTAATTGACGGCAATGGGTTTGGTTGGAAGAAACAGCCAGTTTCCAAGATGGTTTTATATTCATCAGGCTAGTTTTTACTTCTCGCTGAAATGTTTTGTAGAGTGAGATGATCTCCCATTTATACACTCTTACGTAGAAAAGTTAGAGATCTAGCTTACTCAGTTGTGGTCACCTCAGGAGGGAAGGGAAATTCCCATCAGTCTTGGTATGGGATTTCCCTTCTTTTTTCCTGTCCCTTTAAGTGCTACTTGAAATCCATTTATCTGATCCCAAAATTCTTACTTCATCCCAGTGGTGTATGGTCAGTCTTGGCCGCATTTAACTTTTAAATTTGAAATCATATACCGTGAAACCTGTGAGAGCCACAACTTGACAGAACTACCTTGTTTTTCCGGGTCTTGCAAGTTTTCCACCTTTGACAGGGTGCAGTTTTGCCTATTTTCTATCGCTCGTTTTAGTGGAAAATATTTGTTTTCCTTCTCGCACAGGTTCTGACCTTACACAGGCTTCTGCTTTTGCAGGTTTACTCTATTTCTTAAGACCAACCATTATCATCCTTCCTGTGACTTTACCATAGATTGAAGTAGGTCAGAAAAGAAAAAAATGAGGGGGGCGGAAAAAGGAGGAGACCAGAACAAATGCTGGTTGAAAGCAATATGTGTAAATAGGGGTATTTAGCCTTAGTTTGAAGAAAATGAGATGAAATCCTCAGACCAAAGTACTCTGGGGGCTTTACCCTAAAAACTTAAGCCCCTCAGTAACTCCACAGCCTAATGCCTGCCTTGTATACCCAATTCTAGGAGGCTTCTGGTTTGGATCATTAAAGCCACCACAAGTTAACTGGTTTTGAAGTTCAAATTCTGCCTGATGTTCGGGCCTTAGCAAGGAGGGGAGGGCAACCCATGTTGGGACTTTAAATGATCTTTTCTTTACATACGTTGCTAAATGAGGTTAGGTTCAATTTCATATTTATTGTGTACCTATTTTATTTACAGCTCTGCTAGGTGCTTTTTTGTGATACATAGTTTTAAACTAGCACTTTTACTATGTTTAAACTTTTATGTTTGAGTACAGTTGTTAAAACCCAAAACTCGTTGCAGTTGAGTCGATTCCGACTCATAGCGACACTATAGGACAGAGTGCTTGACAAACTCTCATAGGTAGGATGACCATACACTTTAATGTCCAAACCCCAGGACACTTTCGAGAATGAAAGGGGCACTAATAATTATGCCAGGATAACAGGGCTTCAACCTCTGGGATAGTCGCCCTGTTAGGTAATTACTGTATTGCCTTGGGGGCAAGTATCTTGTTCTAGCTTTAGAACCTTTGTGTCTCACCTCTCCTCACTGCTTGGAACGATGTTTCTGATGGAGAAACTTGGCAGAATCTCGTCATTGGGATCTCAGCTTAAATGTCACCTCCTGAGAGAGGCCTTCCCTTAGTTGGCCATCCAGTCACCATCTAACAAATGACTCTTTTCTCTGCAGAGCACCTTGTGTCTTGTACCCTGGACAGCCTCATAACATCAGGCACGTGGTTGTTCTTATTTATTCTCAGTGCCTAGAAATATATTTGGCGCATAGTGGTGCTTGAGAAGTTTGTGAAAGGAAGGGAATTAAGTTGGGGCCTACTAACAGTTTAGACAGAAAATTAACAAATTTTACTCTCTACTTACGGTTGTTTAATGTGAATGCAACCAAACAGTATCACATGGTGAAAAATATCACTGGTTCCCCCTCTTTAAGCGACACCTTTTTTTTTTGAGAGAGAGAAAGTGGCAGTCATTTGTCAAAGTACTTCTTTATACAGAAACTAATAAACCTGTGTACAGCTATGGGGTACAGCTGCAATCTGCAGGGCTTCTTGCTATATATAGAGGGCATCTGTGATGCTCTTAACTCCCTTTCAAAAGCCAAATACCCAGCTGGAGTTAACACCTGCCCTCACCCTCTTTGTTGATAGTTGACTTTGAGAAAGAAAATGAATGATTATTTAATTTTTCCATATTCCTAAGCCTGAATTCAGACTTAGGATATTGGATGCCTTTGGGGGCATCTTTTACTCATGTAGACAGAGACAGCTTTCTGTTCATTGTCATGTAACTGAAGGGCTGATAGCAAACATTAGTTTAACAACTTTACTAAACAGCATTGCTGCCTTTAAGGAGCTATGTTCGTTTGCCTTAAATGTGATTTAGCAATTTGTGTGTGTGTGTGTGTGTAATGCCACCCAAGCAAGACTTAAAGGATTTTGACAGCTTTACAGTTTTGTTTACATCCTGCATCACCTTAGCAGAATATATACAAATAGTAGATGTTTAAGTGAATGAATGCATCTCTTTTAATATGATTTAGTTTTAATGCAAGGGATTTTAAGACTCTAGATTTGAAGAACAGTATTCTGAATGCATTCTTAACAGTGTTTGGTTTTCTAAATTATATGCTAGTTATCCCATATTATGTTCATTCACATTTTATCAGTAATACTGTTTTCAGGACAAAGTAGTAGTTTGCTAGAAATTTTAATGCTCTTTTTTGTCTGTCTAATACCGTGTACTGCTTTTGATAAAAAATACTATTTTAAGTACCCTGAAGCTGCAGTTGAACAGCCTACTAGATAAACTGTTTTGAACATAAACAGTTGTTTATAGTGAATCATTAGATGCCGCTAATAAGCAAGCAAAAGAAAATGTACTGTAAACTAGTATTATTTACAAGCAGTGATTTAAGTATAAGGGCCCAGTATATACCTGTTGGCCTTTAATTAGTATATACTATCCTCTTTGAGGTAAGAGAAGTGGTGTTTATTGCAAATATTTGGAAAGATTTCAGAAAACCTTTATTAAAACATTCTCATCGCCTCCCACTTTTCCCTTCTTTGTTATGTATAGGTTTCCCAGGCAGCTGCAGACTTGAAACAGTTCTGTCTGCAGAATGCTCAACATGACCCACTGCTGACTGGAGTATCTTCAAGTACAAATCCCTTTAGACCCCAGAAAGTCTGTTCATTTTTGTAGTAAAATGAATCCTTCAAAGGTAAGTTTCTGTAATTAATACAGCAAAGTCTCACAAAATAGGAATCACTAGTCAATTCTTTCTTAGCAACACTTTTTTACAAAGTTAACTGAGATCATCCCTTTTACTTTTGTTTGGCACTCTAAATTTCCAGTGTTTTTCTGTTTTATAAGGAAAGTGAGGATTGAGGAAACTTGGCTGGTTTAGTAGTCATGAAGACGAACAGTTTCTGTTTAACAACAAAGTGGGTATTTTAAATAGAGGATTAAGTAACTACAGTGAAACCTGCGAGAGCTGGAACTCAACAGGACTGCCTTGTTTTTCCGGGTCTCGCAAGTTTTCCACTTTGATAGGATGCAGTCTTACCACTTTCTGTTGCTCGTTTTAGTGGAAAATATTTGTATTTTCCTTCTCTGACAGGTTTGTGCCTTACATTGGTTCCAGCTTTCGCAGGTTTTACTGTCCTGCCAGTTGATTTGTATTAATTCTGATGTTATTGCTCTAATAGAACCCAGCTGTAGAGCAGTATAACAAAGAACTGGGAATTGTGAATGCAAGCGAAAATCAGGAGGTACTTGAATAAGCTGACGTGTGGGCATTTGGAGTGGGGAATAACCATAGGTTATCTTCCAGCTCAGATGTCACGTGTGCAGAAATGTATAGTTAGCCCAAAATAGGTATGACCAAAAAAGTGCTTTGGATAATTTAAAATGTAATCCAAGGGTGCTACCATTTATAAATTCTACTTTAGTCAAGGCATATTATTCACTATTGACCTATGAGAAGCAACCTTAAACTAATGCTTTAAAAAAAAAAAAAAGTATATGGCATGTACCATTTATTAACATTTTGACTCCTCAATGTCCAGGAAGCTGTCTCCTAAAATACCATGTTACACAGTTGTGCCCACTCTAAGTAAGCTTTGTAGATTTGGGAGTGTGCAGGAAGTCTTTGTGTAACTACAACATGTTTCCAGTAAATAAAATGATAGGTTAAGATGTCTAAGATTTTTAAACACCAAAAAAAAAAGCACCTTTGTGTAAGAGGTTCTCCATAAGGAAATAATTTTTAACAGTCTAGCACCTTTATACTAAACACTTTTATTTCCTTGCTTCTGGCAGTAATTCATTTAATTCTTCATGCCAGTTTTTGGAACGTTCATATTTTATGTTTTTTTAAAGATCCTTTTTAACCTTTTCCTATTGTATTCACTTTACAAAGTGGTTTATTTTCACTTGATATAAGTCTTGTGGGTAAGTATGATTTGAAGCAGCAGGGAAAGAGTATCTGGATGTTAAGAGCAGTGCTTCTCACATTTGAATGTAACCTACAAATCACCTTGGTAAAATGAAAATTTTCATTCAGTAGGTTTGCGGTGAGGCCCTAGAACCTGCATTTCTAACAGGCTCCCAGGTTATACTGATGTTAGTGGTCCTAGGTCTACACTGAATAGAGTGAATTTAAAGAATCTACATTTGAGTGTTTATACTCATACCTTTTAAAAATTGTATGGTTTTTATTATTAAAAAAAATTTAACAGGAGAATTTAGCAACTGGAAATTCAAGAAAAATAGAAATCACAATGATTCATTACACACATAATCACTGTTAACAGATTGTTATTTCCTTTTCTTTTAATGGAAAATTATTTTTTAAAACGTGAGGATTATAATGTGAGCAATTTTCCACTCTGCTTTTTTTTAAACCTATTTTCCTACTTTATTAAATATTCTTTGTAAACAAGATTTTCAATGGTTGTACTGTAATTTAATCATACTTGGTTGAATACTAAAGTTTCCAAATTTGAGGCTACTCAAGGTGAACATCTTGGTACCTGACTTTTTGTACATCACCTCTCCTATTATTAATTTTTAGAAGTAAAATTAGTCATAAAGGACATTTAGAATTTTAATAACACTTGGTAACTACTGCCAAGATCATACTTTCGCTCTTCCACCAGTAGCCTGACAATGCCCTTTTGTTGAATCCTTGCCAAACAAACCTTAATCTATTTGCTACTGTTTTCTGCCTATATCATTGTAATATGCACTGATTCAAATATCTTAAGTGAGGCTAAGCATTTTTCTTTTTTTGTCTCTCCACTAAAGTAATCATTCTGGTCATGCCTCCTGAACATTTTTGTTAAGAAATAATTTCAAATTTCCAAATAAACACAGAGATGAATCATGTATCCACAATCTTGAATTAAATGTTTTCCCTGTTAATTTTTAAAAAGAAAGAAAATAGTTAAAAAGACCTTTTTACCTTTTCCTGTAGGTAACGAAGTTGGTATGCCTATGTTTTTACTACATATATTGTATTTTATGGTTTTAAAAGAATGATTTTTTTTAAGACATAACAATTACTGTATTATTTTTTGAGAATTGTTTTGTGTGTGTGTTGACCTATGTAGATTGTTTAGTCCTTTTGATTGCTGTACTTAGTATTCCATCTTAATGCATCCTGGTTGTCGTTGAGTCAGTTCTGACTCATGGTGACATTTATCCATTTCCCTATTGAGTTACATTTTTCAGTTGTTCCCAGGTTTTTGCTGTGTTTATTACAGCCAGTATCCTTATACACGTTTCATTTTGTGTACAGGTTTATCTTGGTAAATAGAACTATAATGGAATCTTCTATTTTACTAGACGTTGTCAAAATGCTCTCGTGAATACTCTGAGTTTTTTCTAAGGGTATTCAGATTTTTAAGAGAGTTTCATATTAAGCTTATTAACCCTTTTAAATTACAATACAGTGTATTTTGGCAATGATCTTGGCAAGTTAATCTCTAAATCTATTTATAAAACAGGAATGATAACATACTTCAGAGTGGTTGTAAAAATTAAGACTGCGTATTACGAGTTAGACATTTCACATATCCTATTTCTCATTCTTTCCTAGAAACCCCATGATGTACAGAGTGTACACTTTTTTTTTTTAAAACACACATAAGGAAATAGGCTCAGTTTAATTGAAAGCACTTTATAAATGGACATTCAAAATAAATACCCTAAAAAGCAATACAGGATGTACTGTTACTCAGAAAAATAGGCAAAGGACATGAGTAATTTATAAAAGACTGAGAAATACACAAACAACTATAATTGTTTTTCCTCATTCATGAAAAACAATAAAATAGTTACTCCTTGATACTTTAGCTTAATTCATTTTTTTCTTTCCATTTCAGGTTTCCTAAACCACTTTTCATGAACCAGTGAATATTCAAAGAAGAGCTAAATTTGAAGCCTGTACAAAAGCTTATCCCTATAACAGACGTGCCACACTATACAACTTCCTACTTTTGTCAGTCCTTAACATCTACCTCTGAATTTTCATGAATTTCTGTTTCACAAGGGTAATTATTTTATGTACACTGGCAGCCACATATAATAAAATACTTAGTATAAAAGTCTCTTTTGTTTATTGGTATTTAAAAAAAAGCAGAAAACCCATTGCCATCAACTTGATTCCAACTCACAGCGACAGAGCAGAACTGCCCCATAGGGTTTCCAAAGAGCAGCTGGTGAATTTGAACTGCCGACCTTTTAGTTAGCAGCTAAGCTCTTAACCACTGTGCCATGAGGGCTCCAATGGTATTAGACACATTCATTAAATCTGTTCTCAACACCTAAAATGGCAGTTTTCCCATTAAAAAGGCATTTGAAGTTTTTAGTGTTTGTTTCCCCAACTCTTATCAGGTGAACTTATTCTATACATCACTTGCAAGACTGCTAGTGAATTAAAGGTAGGCTGCAAACCTACTACTGTATTGTTACTCTTAAGGTCAGAAAGAGGCTACTAAGTTCTAGGGTTTCTATGAATTATGTAAAGAGTTAACTTTGTTTTAAAAATAAAATTTTTTAAACAAACTTCGTAGGGTATTATCAGTTATACCTAATAGTTAATTCATTACAGCAGGCTCTCTAACACGGCTACTATAGAGGACTGAAATAAGAATTCCATTAGAAGACAAGAAAAACTTCAGAACTGCAGACAATGCCTGAATGGAGTACTACAGTACAGTGTAATGAGGTACAAAGTGGCAAGAAAAAGAAACCAAAGACTACCTTCAGTAATCTGGAGCTTTAAGTCCTTGATAAATCATTTTGCTTTAAAATTTTTACCCTTCTGAAAGGCCTAAGGGGAGGTTAAAACATCTGAGGAAGCTGACCTCCAGTACTCATCCAAGAAACACTGAGGTTCCAGAATTAGTCTGGTATCCAACCAGTGATTTATGGGGTATCTACCAAGCATTTTATTTCTCTCTGCCCCATGAAAATGCAAACAGAAAAGTTAGCCTGACTCCGGACTCCAACTTAAATTACAATTACACAAAAATGAAGAGAATTAGGTTTTAGGAAACCTAAACCTCTAACCCCTCACCAAAATGACTTATTCATATTTACTACATAAACTGGCAATTCATGGCACTTTGTAATTTTTCCACACATGAAAGTTTATGAAATCAATAAATGCCATTTTAAAAAGTATCTTCTGTCAGAAATAATTTACCAAGTTCAAGACAGCCCTGTTAAGCAAAATCCAGTAATACTCCCTCAGTACTTTATAAATGGAATTTTCTTCTACTTGTATCCATTTCCCGGGGCTGAAAGGTAAAAAAAAAGTATATATATATAAAATGAGTAACAATTTGGGTAACAAAAGATAGTAAAATTTTAATTTCCTTAGATTTTAAATCTATAGTTAGCACTAAGTGCTGAGAGAAACTGGGTTTGTCTGACACCCTGAAGAGACTTAAGCCTAACATAAAAGGTGTTAGAAGTTACTGTTCATGCATGTGTATATAATTTTAAAGCAAAAATGTTCCTTAAATGAAATACTGCTTACTAGACAGAAAAATACGTTCTACAATACTGACATTTTCATTCATGATTTAAGCTCATGATCCTCAAACTTCTACAAAACTTCTATAGCTATAGCAGTATTCAGTTTAAAACTGACATGCAACAGAGATCACCTTGTAACACTGGTTGCTGGGCCCCACCTGCAGAATTGCTGATTCCGTATTTCTGTGGCACAAGAATTTGCATTCTAACAAGTTCCCAGGTGATGCTGCTGGTCCCACTTTGAGAACCACTCATCTTTAGCCTACTTCAAATGGTAGCTGCTGTTGAGTACATTCTGACTCATGGCAGCCCCATGTGTGCAGAAAAGAACTGCTCCATAGGGTTTTCAAGGCTGTGACCTTTTGAAACATCACCAGGCCTGTCTTCTGAGGCACCCCTGGTAGGTTCGAACAGCCAACCTTTCAGCTAGTATTCAAGCACTTAACTGTCTGCAACAGCAACGTTAATCACCAGACCCAAACATCATTATCAGAGATTGGTTCTTTCTAACTAATGGGGGAAAAAGTTCCAAAGTATAACTTAAGGTATAAATACCAAAAGCTTATAGTTTCCTTTTTGCTCAATACTTTTAAAATGATCTACTGTAGCTTTCAAGCAGTAAGCACATACCTTATGGACCCATTCATATTCTCCATATTTAGAATCAAAGGTTCCTTTCTGAAGAGATCTTAATTTTAAGGTAAAACGTGGTCCAAGCTCCTGAATTCCCACTTTCTTTTCACTTTTGAATATGTATCTTCAAAGATAAAGAAAATACAAGAGTTGAGGAAGTTAGGCTGCTGAACCCAAATTTATTTTCTCATCTATTTGTTATAACAGAAATCAGGTTTGTGTTGAAAATGTATTTCATGATTTAAATCACAGTCCCAGGGAGTTAAAGCACCTTCCTCACCTGTGAAATCTGAAGAAGATATAATCCCGCTGATTGTGGAATGTGGCAACCTGCCTTCCAATAAACTGAGGGTCATGGGGAAAGAGAGATGCAAACATACGGCCTACAGAATGACCCAGACGTGTTGTAAAATTATTCAGAATTATTTCAGGGATGTGTTCTGTGGGGTCCTTGCCTCTTCTCTAGAAAAATGAAAAATTACACAACGAACTAATTGGCAAAATTACATCTCATTCCAAGTATCAGAATTTATATGACATTATTTGCAAAACTTAGTTATAACTTAATAAACTACCACAAATGGCTTATCAAACCCATGAAATAAGATCTATCTAAAAGTAATATGCACTGAATGTACCAAAAAGAAATTGCAGTAATGAAGAATACTGCCTATCTGCCATAAATCACAATCTCACAAGAACACAGTAGATAAAAACTGCTTTAATTGGGAGGGCAAATACCATTATTAAAATCAATTAAATCTATAACATACAGCATCTACTGAAGTTTTAAGTGATTCTTCCACTGCAAAGCAAAAAACTTCTCCCTTTTAAAATACAGTTCATACCCAAGTGAACTTTTGTTAAGAAGACCAAAGCCCATCAAAGAATGTATGAAACTTACCTTAATTTCTTTACGCAGACGAACGCTGCTCATTTTAAAATGAGCAGTCGGACCATGTGGCAAGTGACTCAAAATAAGACCATCTGTTCACAGAGTTAAGAACACACTGAAACTCTGTAACCTAAATCTTAAATTATTAAATAACTGGTCCTCTATATGCCCAAAGACCAAAACCAAACCACAACTCCACGTGTGTCAAAGTATAACTATGCTTCATAGGATTTCGATGGCTGATTTTTCAGGAGTGGATTGCCAGGCCTTTCTTCCACGGCACCTCCAAGTGGACTGGAACCTCTAACCTTTTGGTTAGCAGCCAAGTGCATTAACCTTTTGAGCCACTTGCAAAAAGATGGAAACAACCTAGGTGCCCATCAACGGACGAATGGAAAACAAATTATGGTTTATCCACATAATGGAATACCACGCAACGATAAAGAACAACGATGAAGCCGTGAAACATCTAATAACATGGAGGAATCTGGAGGGCATTATGCTGAATGAATTTAGTCAGTCACAGAAAAACAAACATTGTATAAAACCACTATTATAAGAACTCAAGAAAAGGTTTAAACATAGAGGAAAGCATTCTTTGATGGTTACAAGGGTGGGGAGGCAGGGTGAGGGTTATTTACTAATGAGATAGGTGAAGGGAAGGACAGCACACACTACAGGGTAAGTCAGCACAACTGGACTAAACCAAAGCTAAGAAGTTTCCTGAATACAATCAAACACTGAGGGACAGAATAGCAGGGGTAGGGGTCTGGGGACCATGCTTTCAGGGGACATCTAGGTTAACTGGCATAACAAAGCTTATTAAGAAAATGTCCCGCATCCTACTTTGGTAAGTGGCGTCTGGGGTCTTAAAAGCTAGCAAGCAGCCATCTAAGATGCATCTATTGGTCCCAACCACCTGGAGTAAAGGAGAATAAATACCAAAGACACCAGGAAAGTATTAGCCCAAGGGACAGAAAGGTCCACATAAACCAGAGACTTCATCAGCCTGAGACCAGAACTAGATGGTACCTGGCTACCACCAATGACTGCCCTGACCGGGAACACAATAGAGAGTCCCTGATGGAGCAGGAGAAAGGTGGGGTGCAGAACTCAAATTCTAGTAAGAAGACCACATTCAATGGTCTGAATGAGACTGGAGGAACCCTGGAAAGCATGACCCCCAGATTCTCTATCAGCCCAGAACTAAAACAATTTCTGAGGCCAACTCTTCAGACAGGGACTGGGCTGGACTGTGGGACATAAAGTGATACCTGTGAGGAGTGTGCCTTTTAGCTCAAGTAGGTACAAGAGACTAAATGGGCAGTTTCTGTCTGGAGGTGAGATGGGAACGCAGAAAGGGTTAGGAGCTGGTTGAATGGACATGAGGAATCGGGTGGAAAGGAGGAGTGTGCTGTCACAGTATGGGGAGAGCAATTAGGGTCACATAACAATGTATGTGTAAATTTTTGTATGGAAGACTAACTTGAAATGTAAACTTCATTTAAACTACTACAATAAACAATAACAACAAAAAAATCATTTGAGCCACTCAAGGACTCTCTGTATGCCCAAAAGGCCCTAAAATCTGTAACTAGGTTAATGGGTGGATGCATGTATTCCTCTGGGTTAACTAAAATTTTCCTACCACCTCAAAAACTCAAAGCACATAAGTCAACCTAATCTCTTTCTACAAAATGGTAAAATGTCATCACCCTCAACAGTGTTTAAGGTTAGACATTAAACTAAAGGAGGAGAAAAAAGCTATTAATGTTGCCTGCTATTTTAGCAGGAGTGATAAGACAGGATGAGAATCTAGAATAATTCTAGCAATGCAAACAGTTTATCTACATGTTCAAATGATGTACAAACCTAAAAATGCACTTTTATATGTTACATATGGTGGAGATATGCTGTCAGCTTTGAGTCTTAGCTCACAAAACCAGAGACTCCTGTCCAAGCTCTCTTCTTGAAGTCAAGGTTATTAGTGTTTCTCCAGAGACAAACTCTTCCTCTTGGGATTTCTGTACCACAAATTAAATCAATCAACCAATTAATAACTACTTACCATCTGCAGGGAATTATGCTAGACCAAAAATGAAATATAAGACATCTACTTATAATCAACAGGGTTAGGAGCCCACAGGCTTTAAGGTCCTGACTGCAGCAAACCAAGATTACCACATGTACAACATTCTCAAGTGTCTGCATCACAACCTTACTTTATCCTGCAAGACCCTTCCTTTTCAATGATTGATTTCTGACTATCGTTCAATGTTATCTTTTTCATTTTACTGGATCCACAATCAGCACCCATGGAAACAGGAGTCAAGAAACCAAATGATGTATTGCATTGGGCAAATTTGCTGCAAAAGACATCTTTAAAAAGGACTAAGGTGTGCCTGACCCAAGCCATGGTATTTTTAATCGGCTCATATGCATGTGAAAGCTGGACAATGAATAAGGAAGACCAAAGAATTGATGTGCTTCGAATTATGGTGTATGCAAAGAATACTGAATATACCATGGTCTGCCAGAAAAATGCAGAAATGTGCCTTGGAAGAAATACAGCCAGAATGTCCCTTGGAAGCAAGGATGGCGAGACTTTGTCGCATGTACTTTGGACACGCTATCAGGAGGGACTAGTCTCTGGAGAAAGACATCATGTTGGTAAAGTAGAGGGTCAGTGAAAAAGAGGAAGACCCTCAACGAGATGGACTAACACGGTGGGCTCAAACACAGCAACAATTATAAGGATGGTGAAAGATTGTGCAGTGTTTCATTCTGTTGTACACAGGGTCGCTACGAGTTGGAACCGACTTGACAGCACCTACAAGAACTGTTTAATACCACTACCACTACAATCAGGTAGAAATGATGACAATGGATAAGGCTTTCAATTCATATAATGTTTACAAAGCATTTTTACACGTACATTATTTCCTATGATCCTTACAAGAACTAAACCTAAAATGGGGGTCAGAATTAAGACTGTTTAAAGTATATCTACACACAATGAGTTCTGCAAAACAGATGTTGCCGTCTTTTTTATAACAGCACCAATATTCTTCCTTTCATCCAGATTAGAAGCTATGGTTAGCATCCTCCTCTTCCACTGTGTCCTACTGATTTTACAAGTTCCTTCACTTCTACAGCCTCTTCTTTACCCTCACTGCTACTGTTTTAGGTTAGTTCCTTGAGTTTTTTCACCTAGATTATTAAAACATATCTTGGTTTGTCCAACCTTCTCTCACCACTTCATCTTCTAATACAGTCTACAGGCCTTGGTTCTACAAGTAATCAGCTTTGTACCATAGCTTCTCAAGTGCTAAAGGCGGGGGGGGGGGGGGGG